TCAACTTATTTAATGGTCGAATACCATGAATCTATGACCCTCTTTCGACACATATGATCACCACTGCATCTAAGTCAAAAACGGCCAAGTGATTTGTAGATAGTTGCTTGCTTTGCACTACACCAAAATATTACGTTTGATCATGGTTTGATCCATTGCTATGGTTGGCCATTCGTTTCAAAATTATACGACAGGGTACACGCGGGTTTTTCTGCCGCGTATACTTGTTTACATACTGTTACGTATGTGCTTCAAGCCCATATATACGACCATTTAGATCGCGTATATACGCATTTTTAAATGGACACATATTTGCGTAAATTCAAGCGCGGGGACATGCGAAATAAAGCCCAAATATACGCGTCCTACAAGGACCTATATATACGCGTGCTAAAATGCGCGTATATGCGGGTCTCGTAAATTACGTTTTATGTGCCAGCACGAAATGTGCCTTTTAGGAAGATGGCTGTTCGTGTATGATAGCAATGAAAATTACTTTAACTAGGAATCGTCAATATGGCGGCAGTGGTAAAATGGCTTGTCTTGGTCTTTCTGCTATTTAATGTTTGTTACTGCAACTCTCCAGTGAATGAACTTCTAGAAACAGCTATGCGTGTTTTGAATGACTGTTAAAGATTTTATCCTAACGCTAATCGTCGTGAAGTTGCTGTGGATTACTCTGTACATTCTTTAGTGGCCTGCGTAGCTTGGCGGTTTTTAGGCAATTTGAACGCGCTAAGAAAGCGGCGAAGCCGCGACAACGAGCGCCAAATGCGCCGTAGCCACGAGGATCCTGGGGGGTTCCTGCCCGTTTTCGCGGCTTTGTCGCTCTATGCGCTCGCGCTCAAATTGCTTAAAAATTGCTAAACCGCCAAGCTAAGCAGGCTAATCCTTTAGTTGACTCATTGGACAGAGGTACCAAGGTGAATGCTGAGAGGATACGACCTCTAGAATCGCTGGTGAGACAAACGCAATATTTACTACTTAGATGGGAAATGTTTACATTAAGAGCAGTTTCATGCGCCTCAGTGTACTCCCATTAGGGCTTTGCCAACTGTATCAGCTTCTATAATGGAAGAGTGGGTTGTCCAGCCTATGATATATCAATACCTCAAGGGGAGGTTTAGGAAGCAGAATGTGATTTTAGTGTAAGTCCTATTGGGTCTTCACCAGATAATTCATCTCATTGGGTGTTATCATCANAGCTACGCAGGCTAATCCTTTAGTTGACTCATTGGACAGAGGTACCAAGGCAAATGCTGAGAAGATACGGGCTCTAGAATCGCTGGTGAGACAAATGCAATATTTACTACTTAGATGGGCAATGTTTGCATTAAGAGCAGTTTCATGCACCTTAGTGTACTCCCATTAGGGCTTTGCCAACTGTATCAGCTTCTAATGGAAGAGTGGGTCCTACCGCCTATGATATATCAATACCTTAAGGGGAGTTTTAGGAAACAGACTGTGATTTTAGTGTACGTCCTTTTGGGTCTCCACCAGATAATTCATCTGGTTGGGTGTTATCATCAAATGTGTCCCTGACAGCTAGTATTTCCAGTATTACATATATCTTGTACAATCACTGCGTTCACCCATATTGGTTGTGCGTACAGCATGGTTATTCCATGCCTCAACTAGGAGGTTTAACTGGTTGTTAATTCTGGAAAGAAATATGTAATACAAACAGAACAGATCGATTATGCTTGTCGATTCCAGTATGCCATTTTCTTCCATCTGGTAGAACAGAGTGTAGTAGAACTGACCGACTTCAATAAAGACCTCTCCCCAGAGAAACTCAATTCACTGGTTGTGTACAGACAACCCAGCAATTTTGCTTCCCCTATTAAATCCCCTG